TCGTTTGTCCCTTGAATTCAATAGAGACGGGTGTGCAGAGGTAGCCATGAATGTACGTGTATGCGTTATTCGCCGATAGGAGGAGGAGGAGGAGAGGGGGCGTCTAAGGACCACATCACACAACATTTCCCCCTCCTGTACCAGGCTGTCCGGACGCCGTCCCCGTGCCACGAAAAAAGAGATGTATGTGAGGCGGGAAGCAAGCCCAGTCCCAGCCCAGCCCAGCCCAGACGCTGTGATACTGCGTCTACTGTCTGCCGGCAGCGGGTGTTGGTGATGGATCAACCCGCCCGGACCCCTATTTCGGGGAGTTTTTTTTTCTTTCTCTCTCTCTCCGGTTTTCGCACTTGATCTTGAGGGAAAGATTTCTCCGTAGCGCCCTGCAAGAGTGTAGAGGAGGCGCCGGAGGCAAGGTGGTCGGGACCTCTTGGTGACCCTGGTGATATCTTGGATGTTGTTTTTGCTTATGTGTTTTTGTCTGTGTATCGAGACTACTGTTACACAATAGGACAATGTGGTCCATATCGGCCGAGTTCCTCCCATCACGGAGGCAGTGGTTACACGAAAAAGGCCCTTCATGGGGATGTTGCTGCTGTACTTTAGTCTCACACTCAACGACTGAAGTTTCTCAACAGTCCGGTTCGAGAGGCGCTTCCCGCGAGGGAAAAAAACCCTTGCTGATAGGAACCAACGCAGCCCATCCATCCCTAGCCTTGGTATGAGAAAAAAAACCACTAACAAAGTAAACCACCATCAACGACACCAAAAGGTACACACACCACCACCACCACCACCAGATCCTGCCGTGCCTTGGTTCCCCTCCAACGGGCCGGGGAGGAAAGGTGGACGAGGAGCCTAAGCTCTTAGAGACAACCATCTTCTTTTCTCTCCGGAGTGCCACAATTGGCCCAGCCCGGAGTTGCGGACTTGGATGGCTGTTGCTTTTCCTCCACGGGTCAGCCATGAACAAGAGTCCGAAGACTGGCATAAGATAGTATGAGACTATCAAGATATAAAACAGGCTTGAAGGTGTGCTCTTTCTTTTTTGGCGGCCCACTGGGAATTGATGTCTGAAAGACTCTTCACGCTTGACAAAACACGAAGGAAGGCGTGCGTATCTTTGGAGCCCAGGCGTGCAGTACTGTTCACATGCCAGAAACAAAGTCAGGCCTGCCCTTTCCACCTTGTGATAAACCCGCATCAGGCGAAAGTATCCTGGACCATCAAGGCTCCTGCCACGAGGGCCTGGAAGTTGAGGTCTTTGACCGGCCAGCTTTCTCTATACGACGTGGCGCGTGGTCTCTGCCGTCAACTCTGCGACGCCCCGGCCTTGCAGGTGTCTCACTCGCTCGAGCGGTCCTACATTGCCCAACTTTTCCACGGTCCTTGAACCAAAGGAAGAGTGGCCGGCCACTTGGCTGGTTTGTTTTGGCGCCATATAAGCTAAGCGTTGCAGAATAGGATAGCGGTTTGGTGACTGGTGATGGGATAGACAGGTAGGTGGATGCTGGGTGGTAACATTGGGGACCTCTACTTGCAGGATGGGCAAAGTTACAATGGCTTGTGACAGGGTAATAAACGAGGGTTTTTACTAGTGTCCAACAAACGCCTTTGAGATACCGGCGTCGTCGGACTTTGCTTCTTTGTGAGTTGGTTCCTCGTGGCGCCGTCCCATATCGCACCCCTCTTCCCTGCGATGCATAGCAACGGGGAAGAGTCGAGGAAAACATCCAGTATCTCTCGGCACTTCTAGAGAAGTCAATTACTCGACCTTCGACCGAGGGCACAGATGGACCCCGGCTTGGGATGAGACTGCCGTCCTTGCCCGCCGCGTGTAACTTCGGGGACTAGATCGTACGTGCGAGATGAAAAGTGACCACAAACAGCAACAGTGCCGGGAGATTTTGTCGCCAGCGTTTGAGCGAAGGCGAAATAAGGCAAAGCTACCCGTGATGGTATCCATCTGCCATACCGCAGTCTTGGGTCCGAAGCACCCAGACCCTCGGGACTAACACATGCATCCCAGCAAAAAAAAAAAAGAGGCGTCACGCCGGCTTCTGCTAAGGGGGGGGGGGCCACTAAGCCAGCGTAAGAGTAGCCCCCAACGCGAGTCGCCCTCTCCCTCTTACTGTCGACTCGAACAATGGGCTTAGGTACGATACCGTTGAAAGGGGTGGAGGGGAATAGGTCTAGACCAGAGGGGAACGCGGGCTTTGACTAGTCCTTGGACGCCCACACGCCCGAGAGGTCGGGACAGCACAGAGACAATGAGCAAAACGTCGAGGTCTTGTTCTGCCTCCCCCGTCCCCTTGCTTTCCCTTTGCCATCTGTACCTGTGCTAGGCTAGTCTGTGGGCTAGAGGGCCAGTAGAGTTTAGATGAAGAAAAGGAACGCATCGTGGCTAAACAGCATCTAGATTCTAGACAACTGAGGCAAAACGCCAAGAGAGATTGAGTTGGAACCTTGGGAGTTGGGGCTGGGTTGATTCTGACCGCCCCTCGCGCGGTATTCAGAAACAAAGAAGCCGCAGTGATGAGAGGCAATGAACGGGCGTTGAAAAACAAAACAACGCAAAAATCGCAAACGGGTCTCACAACTCAAGTGTGTAGGACCCGAAGCAGCGGGTTTTGGCCGGCGCCACGCCCGCCTCCCGACGATGCGAAGGGTTGCAACTTGCGGGCGGGATAGGGATTCTTCTTCCCTCCTTGAAGGGGTCCGCGAGGCTAGACGACGAAATGCCACACCGGACGGATCAATGTTGCCTCAAAGGCCCTAGGCTCGTCCAAAACCACGTGTTGATGATTGCGCAGGGGTCGCCTTTGTAGGCGAGCGCGGGAAGAAGCTTGGAGCACACGATGGCAGGCTTCGCGTAGAGTATTCGGGTCTAGCTTGTTAGCTCTGAGAGGAAGGGCTGGCGTGTTCGTTGAATCAGTGAATCTAGACGAGTCTGTCCTTCCCCCGGACCCTCCTTCCCTCGCGATACCCTCGCTGCTGCGGGGATGGGAGGCGCGGCGTGGGATGTTCTGCAAAGACTACACCGACGGCGAGGCGAGACAGGCCGAGGCTGGTACGGGCGATTATGCAGGAGTCGGAGTCGGAGGCGGAAGCGGAGAGGCACGTGAGAGGTGGGAACTTGGGTTGGAAGTGTGACGGGTTGACATGGCCGGTAGATGAGGAAACCTGGAGTCCTGGACAGTTGTGACCAGACCAAATCGATAGTCTCAATCCTTCGCGCGCCACTGCCGAAGAACAGCATCATGGATGAGTAGGTGGCGGGTAGATTACCAGCAAGCAGCCGGCGGCGAACCGGGGCGGCCAAGTATTTTGACGTCGTCACATTCTACCGGCGATGAGCAACATTTTGCGGCTCCCTTGAGCGATCCAGATGTATTAAATCCGGCGCTACATATGACTTGATGTCGTTGAGAGACTTGGTAGCCAAAGATCGGAATCGGAGTCGGAGTCCAAGACAAGACAAGGGCATGGGCGACAGGGGAGCAGGCATGGAGATGATGTTCATGTTCCCGGACGAAAAGCCATCCGAAATTAGTCGCTGCAAGATGAGGTGGAAGATGGTCGCTGACCACTCTTGCACAGCTCTTCCCGAGCGAATCGCCCCCCCCCCCCCTTCCCCTCTGTCGTCAAGACTCAAAGGTGTGGTTGAAATAACAGGCAGAGGCGTAACAGCAGGGAAAAGGGAAATACCCAGAGAAAGAGAGGTCGGTAAATCGGTATTCGTACGGATACATGTCGATCCTTGAACCTCGCTCGGAGGGGTGCTCCTTGGTAGGGAAAGACTGGAAAGATCGACACGCCAATTCTGTCATTGTTTCTTCTTCCCTTAACCGCGGGGGGGGGCCAGTGCCACGGTGCCTGGCAAAGCCGCAAATGCAGACTCAAGAGAGCCAGGTCCCCCCGTCGCCTTTGGCTTGCCTGAGTAGCCCTGTCTTTCTCGCAACTCTCCACCCGAGTGGTAGCCAAGCAGAAGCCACGGACAGACAGAAATGCAGGGGATCTAGGGGTGCCATTTCTCAAGAGGGAAAATGCCTAGGATGATGTGCTGTTGCATCCAGTGGCCGTATCCGGCTTGGGGCGCAAATCTTGGTGTGTGTATCAATCGCACTCCTCGGACTTCGGCGTCGGAGCTGCTGGTGATGCCCTCAACTCCTCTCATGGGTGTGTGTGCACTATGCGTGTGGTTGGTGTTCATGGGTAGAGTTAGCTTGGTAGTCCACCATCCCGGTCAAGCTACGACCTTCCCTACAGAGCATGCTGCTGTACGCGATGTACTGATCTCCACGGCGCGAACCCATCGTGTGGCCCGGAAACCTAGCGCCAATCTTTGGGGATGGGGGAGGGTTGCACGACATAGGCAGACCGTAGCAGCCAGGTATCTCTTCTCCATGCTGACAGCTGGTTCGCTTGGGGATGGACAAGGCTCTATACAACGGGTTTCAATATCCATGAGAACCCCCCCAGTCCGTATCAAAGAAGCTTGCCTACGGCCGTATGTGAGTGTGTACGGATGATGTATGTATGCAATGCGCGCAGGGCCACCGTCCACGACTACCCCCATGCCCTGCAGCGCGGCAGCTGGCTCCGTTCGTACCACGGTCTATCATATCACGGGAACACAAATATCACAACTCAACTCGGACACTTTGGGTGTCAGCGTTTGTGGGCCAGTCAATCTTCGCCGTGCTCTCGTCGCTAAGTGTATCGCTTCCAGCCTCGTCTATTGCGGAATTGTGACCGCGGCGGAACCTCTTGACTGCCCGCCGAGCCTCATCCCCAGTATCGCGATGCGTGATGTGTTGCAGGAAGGATATCATTCTGCCTACAACGAGGCTTTCCTCGGTGCTGAGAAGCCTTGTGAGGGCTTTCTTACTATCACACGCTGTCACTTGTTGTGACTTAGCCACTCCAAAGTCTCCATATCGAGATAGTCTTCACTGCCATACCGTCGCCCCGTCTATCTCGCCCCATGGCATACATAGCCATCACACAGTTGCAACCTCGCTTCGCCAGCCCCATCCACCAGGTACACCCTCGCCGAGTTGGCTCATGCCTGAAGCTTTGCATATGTCCATAACGATGTATCTCACAGCCCTAACCTCCTCAGCAGATGCGCCGCCGTTGAGAGCGCCTTTGAGATGGCCCTTTAGCTGAGGATTCACATCCTGCGGTATCAGCCCAGCAATGAGAACGTACGATGTCTCCACTGGAGACAGAACGTTGGTATTGCTAAGAATATACCCATACATCAGCCGAGCAGTCAAACCGAGATCTTCTGTGCCCGAGCGGTCCATCTGACTCATTACACGTCTCGATATCTTGCCGTAGATGTTATCCCAAAAGCCCTGCCCGCGCTGCAAGATCTTGGAAGAGGGCGTGTGGTGTATGTCCATATGCCGAGCGGTTGGAGATGAAGAAAGTGTATCATTAGCACCTTGCGGTTCATCCAGTAGATGCTCCGGTGTCACTTTCTTCAACTCCATGAGAGAATTGATGGTCTACTTCATGTCAGTGACTATTCCCAGGTAGAGGAAGGAGTATTCTATCGATTCGGTACCTTGGGGAGCCCTCCGACTGCAGAGGCCTTGACGAGTGCTTCACGTAACTTTCTCAAGATTGTGAGCTGTTCCTCCGGGCCCGGCTTCACATCATCGGGCCCGAGGCCGTGTTTCATGACATGGTTGTAGACTTGCGGTATCTCATCCGGTCGATTCAATATGGTCAAAGTCGTGGCAGCAATGAAGTACCAAGCATGCTTGGGGACGTGCGGTTGTTTCCTCAGCGACGTAAGAAGCGCCGGAGTAGCAATGGGCATCAATCCAGCTGTCATCGTGGCCATGGATGAAGCACGAGACGAGGCGAGGAAGTGAGATTTAGGACCAAGTTGTCATTGTCGCATTTACTAAGGTAGATAGATGACTTTCCAGAAAGATCACTTCGCCGTCCTCAGCATTGACTTGGGAAACGACTCTGGCATCTATTTTCGCAAGAACCGTCCGTTCTCAAGCGGACATGAGGAGAGTGTCGTCCATCTCATCGCGGGAGACGAATGACTGTCATACTTATCGGAGGCTCGGCGAGTGAGATAAGAAACGACAGGACCGGCCTAAGGTATCCGTACCTACCGTTCGATTATGGCCGGAGTCGGCTTAAAGTAGTCCCGACCTACGGGTGCTTGTGTAACGAACCATCACGTGCTCCACCTTCAACCTTCCCCGTTGCCGCGTTAAGGTAGTTGAATACTGTGGCGTCACTGCTCTGCTCAGGTAATCCACCGCAGCAAGTGGATGCTTGTCATTAACGTGGCATCAACTACGGCCTCCGAAAGAGACGTACTACCACGCCAACACCGCGCATCCGGACTTTCTTTGGCCTGCATCAGCAACATGGGCACTTGAGGGCTTCCCTCACTCCACATCACCAATTCCCGTGCTAACAGCCCATCAAAAGTCAAGATGAGGCTCGCGTGGTACGCAGGGGTAAGTGATGCTGCTGGAGCTATCGAACAAGCTCCATTCGCATAGCTCCATCTCGGAGCTGTAACTTGCTGACCCAGAGACATAGGTTTCCACGGCCCTGGCGGCCTCGGTCGTCGTATCAGCCTTCCACCAACGAGCTAACTTTTACTCGGCCATGGTCTACCTTGCGCAGAGCAACTTCTGCTTATTGGTGCGTTGCCTGGCCTTCCCCGTCATCCCACCGCGAACGAAGCTAATCAGTGCTCCCAGGTCCTGGTCAACTTCATATACCTCATCTACGGCACCCTGATATACGGCCTGCAACGACTCCTGTATGGCCCGCTGCGACAAGTTGAAGTCGAGCAACTTTCCGAAAAAGCCTGGTTCGCTATTACCGAAACATGCCTCGCGATGACGATATTCCGGGAGGAGATTGGCGCGTGGTTCCTCGTCATGTTCACCGCACTGGTGACAGGAAAGGTTTGGGGCTGGATCGGCGACGGTCGCGTTGAGGTTCTCGAACAACAGCCTCCTGCGAACCCGGGTCTCTTCCATACCAGGCTCAGCTTGTCACTTCTCTTAAGCTTGGTTTACGACACTTGGCTTCTCCGATACACTGTCTCTACAGTCATCCAACAAGCACGTCCTAACATGATGGTCATGTTTCTCTTTGAGTTCGCCGTTCTCGCAACATGCTCTGCACGAACCGGAATCCGGTACTTGGTGTCAGTGATGGAGCAGAACATTGTCAAGACACAAACGAGATTGCGCTTGGAGGAGCGACGAAGACAAGTTCGCGAAGAGCGCGAGGAACTCATCCGACAGCGCGAACAAAACGGTGCGGGCGAGGACCAGCCTGACTTGCCTCGCGAGGAGGACATTGATGAAATGGACATCGAGGTTCCTGGATGGGAGGCAAAGGGTCAGTGGATCCTGATCCTTGACCTTATTGCTGGTAAGCTACACCGAAACGCTGCGGTCGCGGCCATGTTCTGACACCATCTAGATTGTGTGAAACTGGCCATCTATCTGGTGTTCTTCGGTATCCTGCTCACATTCTACGGCTTGCCGATCCACATCATGCGTGACCTTTTCATGACAGCCAGATCTGTCATCAAGAGGGGTTCAGCACTCTGGCGCTACCGCAAGGCCGTCGAGGACATGAACAAGTATCCTGACGCTACCGAAGAAGACTTGGGACGGGAAGATACATGCATCATTTGCCGAGAGGAAATGCGTCCCTGGGACCCAAGCAATGGAGCCGTTGAGCGTGTGCGACCCAAGAAGCTTCCATGTGGGCACATTTTGCACTTTGGATGCCTCAAGAGTTGGCTTGAGCGTCAACAAGTCTGTCCTACCTGCCGAAGCCCTGTTGTGATTACAAACAACAACAACAACAACAACAACAACAACAACAACAACAATGGCGCCGCACCGCAGAATCGGGACGCGATGTTCGCTAGAATTGGTCTCGGCGGTCTCGGAGCTGCGCCTGCCATCCCACCTGGCCAGCCACCACCTGTGAATCATGCACCGGGCGCCGCTCCCGGCGGTCAGCCAGCTCAGCAACCGCCCCGAAACGGCGCAGCGCGAGTCTTCCAGCTCGGCCCTCTCCGCCTCGGTTTCGCCCAGGGCGAGAATATGCAGCAGTTGGCACAGCAAATGGGCGTTCCTCAGGAGGCCATCCCTACACCCTTCGCTCAGGGAGGTCCCGCTGGCCCTTTTACGCCCGCTGCACAAACGCCAGGCGGTAACAACATGCCAGCTATCCGGCAGCAGATTCAACAGCTCGAGCAGATGATACAGCGGGAGGTTTCAACCCTTCAGAGCATGCACCAAGAATTGCAGACGCTACAGCTTCTTACAGCAGAACTGAGCCGCATCCGCCAGCTGCAACAGCTCACAGAACAGGCGCAAAACGCACCCCAGAACCCTGGATTGACTCCACCGGTGTTCAATCTTGGCCAGCCACAGCAGATGCCACTTCCGGCAATGTCGCTATCGCAAGTGCCCATCCATCATACCCTGCGTGTGAACGGCCCAGTGGTAACACGGCATGGAGCTGCAAACCACTCCAACGCAATTCCGGCCGGCAGCTCAGAGCTCCCAGAAGGCGTAGTGATCCCACCTGGATGGTCACTTCTTCCTCTTCAGCGGATCGAAGGCGCTCCCGGATCTCAACCCTTCCCCGAGAGGCCCTTGTCAGCGTCAGGCGAGACAGCCCAGCCTTCAGAGGCACCTGTCCCGCAAGCTCCAGCTGTTGGCGTGACCCAGGATGCCGACTCAACTCACGCTGCTGCGAATGACTTCTCAACACGCTCTACCACCCATGAGCAAAGACAGGAAACAGCCGGCTCTGGTCTCGATGTGTCCACAAATCAGACCGACTCGCCGCCGGTCCTTGCCCCGAACCCTGTGCTACCTAACTGGGGCGGAGCGAACCAGCTCTTCGGCAACGGGCGTGGTTTGTCGGGACTGGGCAACAACGCACCATCGGAGACGTCAGTCGATGAAGCCCCGAGATACGATGAGGATGCGCCTAGAAATTTGCCAGAGAAGACGTCCGCCACGGCTCCCGCGGTGGCCGAGGGAAGCGCCGAGGAGGAGGGCGGTAGTAGTAGCAAGGGCAAGGCCAAGGCTGTGACGGTTGAGGAAGCCGTTGACGACGACGAATAAATACGGCCAAGGAGCAGGCATTACGCGGCGTTTGGGGTGGGATTCTTTCTGGTTGAGGTGTAAAAATCATACCAATTTTCTGTAGGATTACTAGCGAATACTAAGTACGCGAGATAAGCACTCTTCGAGAAAGCGTCTTCTGTCCATGATGGTAAATATAATCAAGGGAGTATCCCACGAACGTGCTAGCTATTAAACGGCTTGAAAGTGAATCACCCATCCATCCAATATCGTACATACACCTTGGCGACTATGAATCGATATAAGTATACTGCACGATTGATATTTGAAATTTGGTAGAATCTCGCGAAGCGTTTTCATCTACACCTGGAAGGCTTTAATTTGAAGTGAGAAGTCCGTCTAGATGCAAGCTTTGAATCGACGAGATAATGAAACATACTGCCTACACAAGCAGGGATATTGACAATGTATGTATATGTACCAATTCATTTCATCCGACTCGCCATCCCTTCGTCTCGACATTATCACCTCACACCCCCCATCCACAATGAACGGCACCTCGGAAACATTGCCACCAATATAATACAATGAAGCTCCCCCTTTCCTTGCCATATGCCACCATATCCATCCTTCGTAAGCCTGAAATATTGCTGCTGTATGATGTAATTATTAGACAGGAGTCCCACACTTCATTACCCATTATGTGTCGAGCACATCGCGCTGCTCCTCCGTAGGAAGTGCAGGCGTCTCCCACAACGGAGCACCTTCTCCCCTCTCCCAGGCGGTACCCGGACCTTGGTACGCCGGCTCTTGGATCTGTGCCTGCTCACCACCCAGATTGCGCAAAACACTCGTGGTCGCGCTGCCTTTCACCGGCTGCGGACTGAGTACCACTCCTTTAGACGACTGCGCAACATAAGTAGGTGAAAACACTCCCTCCGAGCCGAACGGCAAGGAACGTTTTGGGATCTCTCGACTCACACCCTCGGGTCCACCTTCACCACCACCGAGCTTCTTCAACAAAGCCTCTGACTGCTGCTTAGCCAATTCCTGAAGCTGTGCAGAAGGGTCCTTGGGGCGCAAGGGCAGGTTAGTATATTCGCAAAGACAGTCTGCGGGAGTCCACCGAATTCCATGCACACATACCCAGTCAGTCTGCGGCGGCACGCCCTGGGCGACCGGCAGCTCCTCATCATCCTCTCCGTCGCCAGGTCTGGGGCCACCGCCCCAGAACTTTGGCCGACGGATGGGTGCAGGAGTGACTGGAAGACTAGGTCTGTCGACTACGCTAGGGAAGTCTGTGAGCTTGAGCCCATGCTCCTTTGCTGTCTTTCCATCAGAGATTCCCACCGAGCCCTGGCTCTTCCCACGACGATGCTTTTGGAGACCCTCGACGTAACGCTCGATTTCGGGTACTTCGTCCCAGGCATTCGTACGTGTAAAAGCGGTCCAAGGGTCCGACGGGCTGACTTTGATAGTTGGAGTGGCTGGGGTGCTGGGCTCGCTCTTTTGACCAGTCGTCGATGATCCTAAAAGAGACGGCTCAGCGGGAGCCTGGAATGTGGAAGACGCCGTGAAAGACGCCGTGAAAGACGCCGCGTGCTCACCAGTCGGCGTGCTCGAAGATTCTTCGGCTTCCGGCTCGGCCAAATCCGCAGTGAAGACTCTGGTCGGTTTGGGTTGGTTGATTTCCCACGGGAAGAGGTGACGAGGCTTCTGCGTTGGCTTATCCTTC